CTCATGAAAACTGACATCAGCCACAGCCAACGTCGACCCGATGGACCCCAAGTTCGACCTTGAGGCCTACTTCAACAACCTGGTGAAGCAGAACCCGTAGACTGGATAACCGAATGGGGGAAGGGGACGGCTTGCACAACGGATAGACAGGGTCAGGATTGGGGATACGCCTGCTCACGGAGAACACGAATAGTCCAAACAAGGGACGAATAATCTGGTCTTTTGGCAGCAGTAGGTGCATGGTAGGCACCACGCCCGATGTCACCGCATAGACATTTCCTTACGTCTGTTTACCGGATGTACATGTGTACAATACGCTCTACTAGATGACAATTCCAAGGAACGAGCCATTGGATTCCATCAATTACTTATATTTCTCGCGCATCAACTTCCCAATCTCTGAGCCTGAGCGGGTTCTATATGCATTGACAATCGACACATAGGTCCATCGTGGCCTGTAAGACAGTGAAATGCTGCTTTCCCTGACGTTGCTGCAATTGGTTCCAGCAGATGGCTGAAGGTTATTGTAGCTGTATATTGGCCGACTGAACCATAACATCAAACTCCGACGGTATATCTAGGTAGAAGGTGGGCAGCCACTTGGAGGCTTTCGCTCGTGACACAGATTAGATGACTCGTCTGATACGCATTCATCTCTAACAGTATGGTGCTGTATGGTCATTCATCAACTTTCCAGGGATCTCCATGGAATGCGCCGAAGCTGCAACAGTAGACTGAGTATTCCTATTGCCCGTTATGCATGATGCGTCTCTTACGATAACGTACTTTATGGACCGCATACGCCATCTACTCTCGAGGCCGGGATCCGGCACTGACCCGGCCACCCCAGACGGGACGGGATCCCTTAGTCCGGGATATTCTTTGTCCGAGACACGTGACTCCGCCTTTTCCAGACTTACGCGGAAGCCACGACTTGGCTGCTGTCAACGGGACACACCACTGAACGGGTCGGCTCTCCATGGACCGTGCACGCTGCCCCTGCACCACCGATTCAGGTGCATAAGCTCCAAGCTGTCCTTCTCAGATACCTTGCTGTGAGACAGAAGGTTGTCGTCGCCAGCTCCATTTCGCAACCTTCAACCTACACGGCCACTGCCTTTCTACACCAAACGCGGCCACAATGACGGCCCAATCTCTTGGACCCCTCTCCGGAGGCAGCAAAGAGAACACACGAACTGTCCTCAGAGTCACCATCTTGTCTCTGATCGCAGCTGCCGCTGTTGCTAGTCGTCTCTTCTCCGTCATTCGTAAGTGCCCCTCGAGACGTTGCCAAGGGTCTCCTTCCTGCCATCACCAACACCAATTGGTGGTTGGATTGGTTGGAAAGGAAGTCGCTCATCGCAATACTTCTCGCTGCAAAGGAACCACGCTGACTCAACTTTTACAGGCTTCGAGAGTATCATTCACGAATGTTGGTCTCTTCCCGTTCCACGTCCTTTCCTTCGTACCCGAAACTAATCGTTTACCAGTCGACCCCTGGTTCAACTTCAGAGCAACCAAGTACCTTGTGGCCAATGGATTCACCAAGTTCTGGGACTGGTTCGATGATCGGACATGGCATCCTCTCGGTCGGGTTACTGGAGGAACTCTTTACCCCGGTCTCATGGTGACTAGCGGCGCCATCTACCACGCACTTCGAGCTCTTACGGTCCCCGTCGATATCCGCAACATCTGCGTTCTTCTGGCGCCAGCTTTCTCTGGCCTTACCGCCTATGCCGCCTACCTTCTTACCAATGAGATGACCACTTCGCCCTCGGCTGGTCTGCTTGCGGCTGTCTTCATGGGCATCTCACCTGGTTACATCTCCCGATCAGTTGCCGGCAGTTACGACAATGAGGCCATCGCCATTTTCCTTCTTGTCTTCACCTTCTACTTGTGGATCAAGGCATTGAAGCTGGGCTCCATGCTGTGGGGTGCTCTTTGCGCCCTTTTCTACGGCTACATGGTCGCCTCCTGGGGTGGCTACGCCTTCATCACCAACATGCTTCCTCTGCATGCTCTGACCTTGATCCTCATGGGTAGATACAGCGCCCGTCTCTACGTCAGCTACACCACTTGGTACGCTCTGGGTACATTGGCTAGCATGCAGATCCCCTTCGTCGGCTTCTTGCCCGTCAAGACCAGCGAGCACATGCCCGCTCTCGGTAAGTGAAACGTGAGAGCTTTGTGTCCATGTGAACTAACACGCGCTAGGTGTCTTTGGCTTCCTGCAGCTCGTTGCCTTCATCGACTATGTTAGAGGTGCTATTCCCAGTCGTCAGTTCCAGACCTTCGTCTACACCTTCCTGGCTGCGACATTCGGTCTTGCGCTTGCTGGCTTGGTAGCCTTGACATCGCTCGGATACATCGCCCCTTGGGGAGGTCGTTTCTACTCTCTCTGGGATACTGGCTACGCCAAGATTCACATCCCGATTATTGCATCAGTCTCTGAGCACCAGCCTACCGCTTGGCCTGCTTTCTTCTTCGACCTGAACATGCTTGTCTGGCTCTTCCCTGCTGGAGTCTACCTATGCTTCCAGAACCTCCGGGATGAGCACGTTTTCGTCGTCGTCTACGCCCTCTTTGGCACCTACTTTGCCGGTGTCATGGTGCGTTTGATGCTTACTCTCACTCCCATTGTCTGCGTTGCCGCGGCTATGGCGGCATCTCAAATCCTCGACACCTACATGGTCGCCAAGTCCCCCAACCCTGAGGACTACAAGACCGATGATGCTGTCGAGGGAGCCTCCAAGAAGGCGGCCAAGCAGAGCGGACTCAAGTCGACCAGCAAGCCGGTCGTCGGTATCTACACCTTCCTCTCCAAGGCTGTCGTTGTTGGTGGCATGTCCATCTTCCTGCTCCTCTTTGTGCTTCACTGCACTTGGGTCACCTCGAATGCCTACTCTTCGCCCTCTGTCGTCCTTGCCAGCCGACTGCCCGATGGAAGCCAGCACATTATTGATGATTATCGCGAGGCTTACCAGTGGCTCCGTCAGAACACCAAGGAGGACGCCAAGATCATGTCTTGGTGGGACTACGGCTACCAGATTGGTGGCATGGCCGACCGTCCCACTCTCGTCGACAATAACACGTGGAACAACACCCACATTGCCACTGTCGGCAAGGCGATGAGCTCTCGTGAGGAAGTCAGCTACCCCATCATGCGCCAGCACGAAGTCGACTACGTCCTTGTGGTGTTCGGTGGTCTGCTGGGCTACTCCGGTGACGACATCAACAAGTTCTTGTGGATGGTCCGTATTGCTGAGGGCATCTGGCCCGAAGAGGTCCAGGAGCGCAAGTTCTTCACCCCTCGTGGAGAGTACAGAGTCGATGACCAAGCGACCGACACCATGAAGAACAGCTTGATGTAAGAGAAAAGATCCTCCTTCAGTCTGGATTCCTACTAACAATCTCATAGGTACAAGATGTCTTACTACAACTACAACTCGCTCTTCCCCGCTGGTCAAGCCCAGGACCGCGTCCGTGGCGTTCGTCTCCCGGATGTCGGCCCCAAGCTTGACACCGTTGAGGAGGCGTTCACCAGTGAGAACTGGATCATTCGCATCTACAAGGTCAAGGATCTTGACAACGTTGGCCGTGACCACCAGGCTGCTGCAGCCTTCGAGAGAGGTCAGAAGAAGAAGAAGGCCATTAAGAAGCGCGGCCCCAGAGTCCTCAGAGTTGACTAAAGAACGGGGACAATAAGGCACTCTGAGGATGTTGCCTCTAGAGTGCCTCTCAAATTTCTTTGTATTGGGACGGGGATAGGTGGTTCTAGATTCCACATGTAGACACAAAAAGCACGCCTCGGCGAATGTACACTACTTGATCATGATTCATTTCGCACCCTTTTTAGGCTACTGTGACTGCCGATATTGACGAAGGTACATGACACTTCATATGTTCTGCCTCAGCAGGCTTGTGGTGTGGTAAAGATCTGTGAAGCAACAAAAGGCTCATCAGCACACAGGAGTTAGATAAGACGAGAACCGCAAGTAACCAGGACAGGTGAGTAGGTACGTTGTGAGTACAGCTATCTCCATAAGTAACTCGAGAGATCTCCATAGTTCTGATCCCCCAATACCCACCAAGGTGTTTGATGATGCCGAGGATCTTCAGGATATTCCGTTTTCTTCGTATCCCTTTTTCTGCTGCTACCACTGAAGCAGCGATTCAACAACGTCAACATGCTGCACGTCAAAAAGATCTAGCAAGCACCTACGAATATCCCTTGCTTCACCGCCCGCCATGGACAGACTTCGGGATCCTGGAAGAAGTACTTCATAAGGGGAGGAAATCCCCAACAGGCACCAGAAGCCACCTCAGTAAGGTACCTTATTGAGGGCACATGGAATACAAACAGGTACGTACCTCCCATTTTTCTTCAAGCCTTAGGGTGTTGCCTGATTTCGATTCCTTCTTTTGGTGGGACTTGAAGTTTTCTTTCCGGAGAAGGAGCGCCCTCAGCGCTCTTTCCATGGTGTTGCACCTGTGACCTGCCTCACCACAACAACCCTTCTAGATCTGTGGCACCGATTGCTTTCCTTTCAACCCTCCCCAAACTTAGTCCAACTTGCTTACAGGCGCCCCATCCAGGAAATTGACGATCCTACTGGAAACCACGGGATACTCTAAGAGCATGGCACCTAAGGAGAGGCCTCTAGCCTCGAGGGCTAGAGGACCAGACTCTTCTCCGCATCGTTGTGAGGCATTCTCATCCACAATTTTAGGTTCGATTACCGGATTACTGATGATTGCAAGCAGCGGCACGCAATGACGCCCCTCGTTTGACTCACCATCAGCCGTTGGACGATCAGCACGAGGGTCAGAGACGACCTGTCGGAGCACCTCCCCGAAGACGCATCAGATCCAGTCGCGCTTCTGGCCGTTTCAAGGGACTTTCGCAGTCCGAATCGACTTACTCTGATGTTTACTCGGCCTCGCAACGCTGCCAATCTGTCTGCTTTGATTTGTCGGAAGCCGCAACTGCCACACCCCAAATGTATGCGTGCTCTTCGGCAGCCTTCACCCAGAGCCGCTTCAAGCTCACTCCCGAATCGCTTTCGGGTTGCCATGCGGAAGAGGCCTTTCTTACGGAGCCTTCAGAGCTTCAGAAAGATGTCGAGACGGAGGCCTCGGATAGAAACATTACTGCAGCCACTTATCAAGAGTCACGACGTGGGAAGCATGCGTCGCATCATCATCGCCAGGATATCAGACGGGACACTAAGCGCGGCAGAAACGAGACATCTTGCGACTAGGCGTCCGAGATCGCAGTTCATATCGACGAAAACAACGATGGATTCTATTGCTTGGGCTGTGGCATTCGCCGATCTGACGAGCAACATAAGATTCGCAAGTTTCGAGCTGGAGACCCGGCTTGGCGCAACTTTTGCAAGCCATGCCACCAGAAGCACTTAACCAGCAGCGATGGCAAGACGGTGAAGGCATATGGTAACTTTTGCTTCGGCTGTGGGTTTGCCCGCTCGTCTCACTTCAACAGGGAGAATCCTATCAAGCCCAGCAAAAAGCCGACCAAGAACTTTTGTGCTCATTGCATGAAACGTCTTTCCAAGAGAGCAGTCATTCCGACAGAGACCTTGCTCGGTAGCGTGAGCATTACCATTACTACACCCAACAGCTCTAGACACTAACGATGTCTAGTCTTCCGATGAGAGTGACACAGAATCGGATTTGCACGAGTTTGACGCAGATCAACATGGTGAACAGAACCCAGATCATGCCAGTCGTCTTCGCACCGCGCCCCAGCAAAAGAAGGCAGAGCCGAAGAGACATACCACATACTGTTTTGTTGAGTGCAACGAATCTGGAAACGAGTCGGATGAGCTTTCTCCATCAGAGTCTGTTCAAAAGCGACTGAGAAAGCGCCGTTCTGCTCGAGCAAGCGATGCGGTGCCTCTGGGAGAGGTTCAGCCCAAGTCTCAGTGCTCTACGGCCCGTCATAATGATGATCTTGCGAACGTCGTCGCGGCGAGCACTGGCCATAAAGCTCCTTCGGTTGAGGACGTACCTGATACTGAAACGAATTCACGACCCGAAGACGACACGCCTGCCGACTCTTGCAGCTCGCCGGCCTCAAACCGTTCCAACTCTCTCAAGGCCGCGCCTGCTACACCAGTTCAAACGATATCACATACTATAGCCAGCGAAGATTCTCTTAATACCGGCCCGCTCCTGGACTCGGGAACCGGTTCCCCTTCCAAGCGAGCAAGATTCAGCGAGCGTGTCGAGGTCCGCACATCTCCGACTTTCTGGCAGCGAGAGCATCCCGAGGGTGATAACCCATATGCGCAGTTCCAATACGAGCAATACAATGATGATCTCCGTGATGGAAAGAAGGCTGTTCCCCTCAAAGATCCACTGAGAGACCCTGATGGCAGGACTGCAGGAAGGCTCTATGTGCCCTTGTGCAGCATCGACGACCATAGCTTCAACTCTTGGAGCAACGAGGGTGCGGCAGGATGGGACGACTTTGCTGCAAGATTCACATCCAACTCAACCAAGGTCTCTGGAAACAACCCGCTTCATTCCAGCACTTTGTATACCTCCGGAGGAAACCTGCCGCGGGACTGTTCCACCAGCGATGGTGATCAACATCGCCTCACCGGAGATCGATCGAATCCAAACAATCGACACAAGCAGCCGCAAAGCTCCGGCGATTTCTGCTACGGCCAAGGCAAAGAGAATCAGCCATGCCCGCCTAGTCCTATCGCGCCAGCTGGCTGGGGTTCGCTGCACGATTTCTTTGATGACAACCACAATTTCGAGAACCATCACGCCTCGGACTGGTCATCCCGCCGCGATGCTCGTCGCACTGAGCGAAACCATGGCCCATGTGCTAATCAAAACGGTTCCTTCCGCAATACGCAAGATTCATATCCAAGTTGGGATCACCAGGCAGACGGTGCACATAATCATTTCGATTCCTTCAGCGGCCATCCTGACGACTACGATTCTTTCGGAAGATTCGGCTTCAATTCATCATATGATTCAAATGATCATGGGCGATATTCTGGAGAGGATGGCTTTCATCACGGCAACTACGGTTCTGCTTCCGCTCATCAGCAATACCACCGGGGCTACCAATCAACTCCACCGAAGAAGAAGCAACATGGCTTTGATTTTGGTGCTTCTGACACCCAAGAGAACCTTCACACTCGCTCCTCCTACAACTTCTCTGGTCATACGACTAACCAAGACACGACGACCAGGAACGGTGCTTCGTGTGGTACCGAAATCCCGTTCGAGTCATCAACCGCGAACAACGACGCCCTTCAAGAGCCCAAGCTTCCTCCTATCGGCATTGTCATGGAGATTCCGGATGACATGTCCGACAGTGATGTCCACACCCTTCTCATCCCTGGCTGCGACGACTATGTTCCCATGGCGTACTGAGCCCGGATTGGCTGGCAGCTATCTGTCGCCCATAGCAGCTTTACAACTTTATTTTACTGATTCTTTCATCATGTCTGAACTTCAACGATCGAGGATCGTTTGCGAGCTTGTCACCAGCAAAAAAAGCTACAGACGGCATCGTGACTATGCGACGATGGACCGATATTGTCGACCTAACATTCTGCCTGCAAACGGATTTGCAGAATCTTGCTATGGAATACTCCAACTTTTGTTTCGCTTGTCCTTTTTACGTATTTTTCTCCCGCTGGCCACTTCCCCTTACGCCATTGCCCCTTTTCGACAAACACCGTTAATTTCATACCCCTCTTGTTGCTCTCATTTCTTTTCCCCGTACACCTTTTCGGTACGCTTCGCCACAAGGCGATTTGCTACGAGGCATGAGAGGAGATGCTTTTGACCATACATCGTCAGTAAGCAATACTACATCGCCATTCAACGAGATCTCTTTCCGATACAATCGGACGCAATCCAGTCGTTTTACCATAGCCGAAACCCCACAGACGCAGCTTGCAGAGGTTTGGTTTGGGAATACTGTTAATTGGAGAAGCATCGATTCCACCTGGATGATGGTTTCTGCCTTGTGCCTGCGACTTTGGGCAACGCTTTCGTTGAGTTTGGGATTCAGTATTCATTTGGACCATGGCCCTGACTCACTCTGGATGATTGAGAGTTTTATCAAGTCGTCGTGCAGGAGTGGTTGACCCTGTCTACTCCGGGAGGAAAGAAAATCAAAGACGACTACGAAAGTGTTCACTTGTACTTAGTTAGTAACACAACCAGGAATGCGACGAATATTTCATAGACGAATCGCTTTAGTGTTGCAACACTCCGAAGTGATGATATGGGTGTTGATGTCGAGGGTTATTCGTCCCTCAGGCGAGCCAAAGAGCCTCCCCGAGGAGCGAAAAGGGCCAGAGCTGCAGAGACTAGCACCGGGATCTATCGATGTGACAATATCAAGTTTGGGCCATCGTTACCCTAAAGCAACGGATTCTATTCTCCGATGGGGCGCCTCCACCTCAAGACATCAAGATGAAAAGGCAGTCTGCGATGAGAACCTCTCCTCTCTTTCGCCTCTCTGTCTCTTGCCTCCCGAGCCCCGACAATGCATATCGACAAGTCCCCTATAAGAACATTTGTGGGAACGATTGAAACCATCAACGCCAAAGACAGGTCTAGCAAGCTCACAAAGGTTCAAATGACCCAATTGAATTATTCAAACGAAATAGTATGAAACAAGAAATGACGATACACAAATGGATATATATTGCCGAGCGTAAAAACAAAAAGGTATTAATGACAGTAGACTTTTGACACACACATATCTCTCTACGGCTTCCTCCGCGGTCCGGCTTGCTCAATGGCCGCGTCCAACGCAATCTCCTCCTCTTCTAGCCTCCGGATCTCGTCCTCCGTCATGCCGTCCTCAATCAGATGCGATACGTTGGAATTGACGTTCGGCGTTGACGAGCGCGGACCGCCGGCGCCGCTGCGGGTCATGTCCTCGACTGACCGCGAGGCGGTGGACATGTTTTCCTCTCGGTATGGTGCAAAAGGAGGCTGGTGGTGATCCGTGGCACTGACGGCTGAGGCAGGTGCTGCTGCTGCGGTGGTGGTCTCAAAAGCGTCGTTAGGATCGTCTTGTTGCAGTTCCCGAGAGAGGTGGTGCTGTTCCTGAGGTTGCGACTGCTGCTGGTGAAGCTGGTGCTGGGAGTGCTGGTGCTGCCCATCGTCCGTGTACGGGGAGTGCGGCGATTCGGTCACCCTGGCGTGGGTCTCCTTGTCGGCGAGGTACTCGTGGGGGTTGTGGCTGGGGCCGTATGCGCCGTCCGAGACGTGGTCAGCGCGGCGACGACGGCGGCGGAGGCAGAACCATATTAGGAACGCGATGAGGGCGAGGCCGAGAACACTCCCGATGACGATGCCGGCGATGGCACCAGGCGCGAGACCTCCGTTGCCGCCGCCACCACCATTACTACTGCCGCTGCCGCTGCTGGAACCGCCGCCGATGGTTGATTGTGATGCATCAGGATTGAGAGAGGCCGTGGAGGAGGCTGCTGCTTGAGTAGTGGTTGTTGGTAGCGGTGATGTTGAGTCACTTTCGTCTTCACTGCCGACTCTCTCTACTTCACTGGCACCGCGTTTATCCGCAAGTTTTCCGACTGCCTGGTCATACTCCACAGACGGATAGGTTCCAGTGAAGACGGCAAAAGCCCCGCTGGTCGTCGTGCCTGATTTGGTTTCTGATGTCCACTGAAGCTCAATATACATAGTGGAACCTGAGTAGGTTGCCATCTTCTTGGCCTCTATCGGCAAGACAAGAGTCTCGTTGCCGAGGATCACTGTTGTTCGATGTCAGCAGCTGAAATTGAGCAAGACTGACGCGAGCGATCTTGGAAGATATCCACGAATCTGGGCACGGAGGCAACTCACTTGCATATGTTTCTTGACGTTTTACAGCGGGAGCTGTCGGCGGTGCGAAACCTGCCGAGCTCCTCCCAGAAACCGCTCCAGGGTTCTCCTGACTTGGAAACGCTTCCATAATGAGTGACTCTGTTTCTTCATTCGATTTTGCCAACCAAGAGGCCTTGCTGAGCTTGACTCCGCTGGCCAGCTTCCACCCAATAGTTTGGAATGTGCGGTCCACCGTGATGACGTACGATGTTGAGTCGTGTGAACTGAAGGTAGTGGTGTTGAATGTGATTTTCTTCCCCTCCTGGTCCGTGGTTGACCTTGTCGGATCTCCCAAATTGGATGTGAAGTCAATACCACTGGAAGCTTCGCCCTCGAAGGCGACGTTGCCATTCTCGCCGCCGCTGTTGATGACAATGCGCGCCTTTTCGGATGTGTCATCGCGACTTAGCTGAACAGGCGCTGGATATGACATGTTGTGATGTCTGTCGTTCTTCCCAGCAGTCTACTTGTATGCTATGTGTGTAGCGTTCGCCTCGATGATTGCGCCACTCGAGTCTGTTGGCGTCGGCTATGTTTGATAGGATCGTATCTCCGGCTTTAGTCGTGCTCGTTTCTCTATGCTGAATCGACCAAAATGTCCAAAATCTTTCCCAGACTGTGATTCCCTTGATATTCTTCTCGTCGAGGGAAATATCCAGTCACCTTACAAAAAGTGTAAATGAGATGAAGTGAAGCAAGAAGTGAAGACAATGCGGGAAACGAAGTAAGCAGAAATGGAGAAAGTGAGTGGCCAGGCTGAGAGAGAGAGGCGGGAAGGTCAGAGAGAAGAAAGCCACCGAGGCGTGTAAGACGGAGAAGAAATGAGACAAGTCGGTAGGACAGAGACACAGACAGATGCAATACCAACCTAGCAACCTTGGGGCTGACAAGGATCAACGAGACGGGCACCTTTTTTCGTTGGTCAGGTCCCGGTCGGTTTGCTGCTGCTGACCGGGGGGAGAAGGAAGAAGGAGAAGGGGCTCGGGCTCTTGCGCGCGCGCTTTCGTTACTGAGAGCAAAGGTCTATTGTCAGGGTTCGCGAGCTTTCTTTCGCTTCTTCGCTTCCTTCGCCTTTTGCAGTCTGTTAGTCGTCTCCCGATGCAAGTGCAGGTGCAGGGATTCGAGGGGATGGATCTGCGCTACGCCAACTACAACAAGCCACGCCGCCAAGGCAGCGCCGCCCAAAGAAATGAGGGAGGAATGGATCCGCGGGTGGTCGAAGGTCAGATTGACAATATGAATACCGTTCGCCGCCGCCTGTCCGTTCTTGATGGTTGATGTGCTTGCTATGGCTGGATATTTAGAGTGAGGCGCTGTACATTCCCTCGCGAGGCACCTTTGTTGGTGGTTGAGGCTGAGGTTGGAGTGCTTGGTATCAGCTAGACTGTCTACATGGTGTACCTTAGGTAAGTAGTAGGAAAGACGAAGACGGTCATGAGGTGCAAAGGGTCCTTTCCTCGTCTCCCAACTTCGGTACGGAGTACATCTTGACAATATCTTGCAAGGAAACGACTGATGCGTGCGTGCCTACCAACCGGGTGGGTCTGTCCAACAGGCAGCTCGACGCAGGGTTGGGAATGCCAAAGAACCCCCCAAACGTCTCCTTCATCTCTCACCTCTCTTCTCTCCCTTTGGATGATCAGTCTACACTATCCTTCTCGATTGAGAACCCCACCCACGATTCCAGGATCGGCACACTGGATTGGTCAGATGTTACACTGCAGCAGCAACAAGTGCTGAGTGCAATCACCAGTATGCTCCGCCACCAACCTGTCTCGATGGTGACGCCATCCCCAGAACACAAGACGGAGAGGGGCAGCACAGACTGCTTCTGGACACTATACTCAGTCGAACGATCCCCTCTCAACGAAAGCCAACATGGCCATTGACATCTCCAAGATTTAAGGTGTTCAGTGCAAGAGGAGAGAACGGGAGACGAAAAGACACAGAGAATGGCAGAGAGAGGTCGTGCGTGGTAAGGCTGGAGAAAAGCGGGCCACGCTTCCAACGCTAAACCCTGGGGGGAGCCACAGCCCCAGCCCCACCGGTCAGCAAATACTTGGTCTATAGGGGTAAGTTTAATCCCCTAGCTCGGTACCGATCTACAGATAAGGGTCAACGTACTAGTTAGATCGTTAGCGCTAAATAGCTAATATAATTAATAATTATTAAATCTTAATTAATTTCTATAGCTAAATTAGTATTTAATATATATTTTATTAATATTAATTATTACTTAGTAACGCGCGGGTATTATATTTAATAATAAGTATAAGAAGTCTTTTAGAAGGGTATCCTAAGCCTCTTTAACTTATTATTATAATACGTTATATAAAGAGTTTTTTTATATATTTATAAACTCTTATATATAATCTTTTATTTAATTTTAATATATTTTAATAGGGTTAAGGTTAGGTAAGAAAAGTAGTTAGAATATTAAATAAACGCTACGGTTATTAAGTTCTTATTAAGTTAACTTTGCGTTATATATTAGGGCGCCGTTTTATATTAGAATAAGGTTATTATTATATATTTATTAATAAAAGTAAATCTAACTATTAATAATTAGTATAATATATTTTTAATAAGTATTAGTACGTATATTACCCTAATCCTTTTCTTAGAAAATACTTAGTCCTTTTTAATCTTTAGAAAAATATCCTTAGAATATCTAACCCTATTTATATTAATACTTTTTAATAATATACGTTAAGTCCTATTCTTTATTATAATAGTAAGTAATATAAAACTTATAATAATAACTACTTATAACCTATATCTCGTCTATTTATAAGACCTTTTACTAGTTTTTAATAGTTTAGTAGAAGTACTCTTAAGCTTAAGTAAAATATTTAATTTAATTAGTTTTAAATATAGGGGGCTTATAATAAGTAATATAATAATAAAACTTAAGCCGATATAGGGCTATTCGTATTATATAAGTACTAAATTAAAAAAAAAAGAGTATAGTTAAAAATAATAAAAAAGAGGCTTAATAGCTATTTTTAAAAAAAATAACGTACTTAATAAGGGCCTCTTTTTATTATAAAGTTATAACCCGTAAGTAGCTAGAACGTAGCGTAATTATTATTAACGAGGCTTTTATAGCTATACGGACTTAGTTTTTTATAAATTTAGTTAATTTAACTATTTAAGCTTATATAAATTTCGTATCGGTATATAATATATAAATCCGCTAGTAATCGGCCTTAATAAAGTACTTCGTTATATTACTTATTAGCCGTATTATATTTATAATAATTTATTAAAAGTAAAATAAGTAAGTAAGTAAGTAGTATATAGGAGGAAGAATTCGTAATTAGTAAAAAAGTTAGGCTAGGCTAATTAGTAGGCCTGTGCTGAAATGGTGGCTTCTGATTAGTCGAATTGCCCATGGAAGGCAGGCACGGGCCATCCCCACCGGTACCTGACAAGGGGGTTAAACTTTGGCCTGATACCGTAGTAAGCACCATCCAATGGAACGCGGCGCAGGCAGCACACCAGGGACCTGAAGTGATGCTATTAATTGAAACAAAAAGAAGAGGCGCCGCCGCCGCCCCCCTGCAGACATGCACACCAACGTCTCTCTAAGGAGTACTTCCATGGAAGCAGCCCAAGTTCCAACCAACCTGCCAACCCAAAGACGGACAAGACAGACGACGACCCTTACCGTTTGATGGAAACCCGCCAACGGTCTAGCGCTACCGCACGCTGAGCTGCTAGTGTCGCTGCGGCTGATGTGAGCTTTGCCCAACCCGCCTTAGGCCTTGGACGCTCACCGGGGCGATGCCCACCTCGGCAGTCGACACCAAATCCTTCTCCCGCTGCCGTCGCCGACGATATGCAGTCTCTCAATACTACCTCTGCTCCATGCCGTGGTCAGGCTCTCATCACTCTCAGACCGGCGGGTGGTGACATGGGCCTACGTATGCCGTGGACCATGTCATTAAAACAAAGTAAGCTTCCTCTTCAAGCTTTCCCGCTGCTGTCTATACTCTAACGGTCTGACCTCGTTCCCTCGCACGGTTACTCGATGTCAAGCCCCGACCGAGGCTTACTTCAGATGCTGCTCGGTGGATAAGAGCCATCCCATTCCAAACCGAAGAATGTCACCCGGTTTCCAAAACACGCTTCGTCTGTACCGAAAGCTCGTGAAAAGCACTCTAAGATGAATAGACAACACACTTCTCTTCTCCATGCCATCCCATGTTCCCAAAAGTCCAATTCCCCTCCCCCACCCGCTACGTCGCATTGTCCACACCCTCTTCTCTGCTGCCTGCCGATCCTACCACACCAACCCGGGCTCTGCGGCCTGCCTAACAAATCCCTGTCCCGAAGCTCCCACAGCTCCACCCAATGCGCTCGACGCCAACAGCGGCGCATGTAAGCCAACATCCAACAACGACGAAACATGCCACACGCACACAAGATCCCAACTTCCAACGGGCGCGTCGCGAGAAGAAAATGATGTCCCACTTTCCGAGCGAGCGACTCGCCTGGTCAAGGCCTTTATGCACATTGTTGGCTTCGTCGGCGCATGTTTGCTATTACGGGCCCTTTGTAATGGGGACAAGTCCGGGCGCGTGCAAGACGATGCGCTCATTACGACGAACACATTAATTGAGAATGGCATGTGCGGAATGGCATAGCAGTTGCTCAGTGACCTAACCAACTCTGTTACTTCTTGTCCCTATTGCTACCCCTATCCGTCACTCTGGCGCCCGTTTTCCCCTGTCGCATGCGAGCACCTGCCAACAGACCCCCAATGTGATACATATCTATAGATAGATTGCCAAAAAGAAGCCATTCATAGTGACCGGACCAACAGGCGCAACAAAGGAACCCAGTTTGTAATTTTCACAGGACTTACACGCCCGGCCATATTCCCATATCCGGGGACGGAAGTCCGGAAGAAGTTTCCACGATTCTCACCTTGCCTCAGCTCACAACTTACGCACAAACTTCAGAGCTTCCCCGTTTCCTGACATCAACCACGTCGTCAATTACCTTGATCCACAAAAAAGTACTTCTCGAAAGTTCAAAAGACGTTAAAAGTTTGTACACTTTCATCTCTTTCTTTGTATTACTTTGCAACCGTCCTCGCAGACAGTATAAAATAAAATTATATACTCGAACGGGTCTATGATGGCTTTGTAGTTAGTTAGTTATAAAGAACCATTTCCCCAAAACGCTACCCAAGAGAGAACCACAACAAGCATCCTTCACCTCTCCCTCTCCCTTCCTCCCCGAGATCATACAACAAACATCGTGATTGACTGTCCTTTGTAAACATTGTAAACACGCCTTTGTTAGGGTCGGGAACCAGGGCTACACCAGCAAACATCTTGCTCAAGCAACAAGACAGAGCAAAGTACTGCAGCACCATCGTACGGAGACAAAGTCCCGATTTCGCTTCCAAACAAGATTGAACTCATACGCCACCAAAAGCCATGCCCCATGCTTGCTTGCTCTCCCCATACCGGGGACCGGGACCATTTTATGCAAAAGTCATCTGGATCTCCTTCTCTTTACCAAAATCATCATCGTCATCAACGTCCGCCCAGGGGTTCGACGCCCCCATATTAGGCACCGTCTGCGCCGACTTCATCTCCGGCCGCGACGGCGGAGGAGCGGGATCGTCCTTGGGCGGCGGCCGCGGCGCCGGCGGCGGATCGTGAAAGGAAGTGTCAAACGTCATCTCCACCTCCTCCTCGAGCGGAGACGGCGCCGCGTGGTACGGCGATACGGCCCTCTGCTGCGACAGCGTGGGCGAGAACGTCTGGCTGCCCTGGAACGTCGGCGTCCTCTCGGGCGTGTACGAGTAGGAGCCCGTCGTCTCGTACGAGGCTCGACCCGGTACCGCGTACGCGCTCTTAGTCTCGCGCAGGCTGTCTCGTGGGTTGAGCGATCCGTTCGACGAACTGAGATCGAGTCTCATGGGCGGGAGCGTGGACTTGAGCTCCTTTACTTGGAACTCTGCGGGCTCCTCCTCTTGCGTCGTGGCAGTCTTTTCCTTTGCGACTTCGGCTCGGATGGCCTCGACGTCAAACAGCACACCGTGGTTGTTACCCTCCTTGTCTTCTGTCCTCGGGTTCGGTTTGTTTCCGTCCTTTGCCGAGTCTTCGTAAATCTCCCACTTCTCCTTGTCCGCCTTCTTCCCCCGTCCGAAGATGGAAAAGCGGCTCTTCTTCTTCTGCCCCTCCCTCTCAAGCTCCTTGCGAGCCTCCTCGATCTCGTTGATGAGCTCTCGCTGACGCTCCTGATGATTATCGGGGTCGGCATCTTCGATTTCGGTGAATTCGTCACTCTCCACGAGCCAGCCGCACTCTCGGAGGAGACGCGGCATAGCCTTACGGTACTCCATGTGACCTTTGACAAACTCTGTGACGTCAAAGTTTTCAATCCACGGCAGGTCCTCAATGGGAGCCAGTCCAGCCACCTTGCGAGGGCCACCGCCAGTCAAACGGAAAAGGTAGGCGAGGATCCAGTCGTTGCTGCTGTACCCATTGACAAACCTTCCTGGAACAACAGTGCGGGCTCGGAGGTATTCGTCCTTCTTGATGATGAGGGGAGAACCGAACAAGTAGACGTTCTGAACCAGGCCGTAGGCCCCCTTTCTCGCCAGCTCCAAGAGGCAGGAGAAAATCACTCGCGAACCGAGTGAATATCCGACAAGTGTGACTGGGCGTGTTCCCAAATTTCTGTCAATCAAAGAGTCCGCCAAAATGAGACCTGCAGACCAGGCTCTGTCTTGTGATACACTCCAAGGGTTATCAATCAGGTATGCCAACTTTGTCAAGACAACGGGTAATGACAGGGCAGCCATCAAACTGGTCAAGATTGTACTTGCAAGAACTTGTTGCAGACCTTGTGTCAGAGCCTAGGAAAGGTTAGTGGGAACTGAGAAAAAAAAAGTGATTGAAAGGGGCAGCAACAAACCTCCGTAGCGAGAATGTTGATCGTGTCACCCATACTCCGCAACATTTCGGGCTCCCAGTAGACAGAGTACAAATCGCCCATAATGGGGTCCACGGTGCTGAATGGCAAACGGACGTCATCCACCTTGCCCGTCATCCATCCGGCTACTGTGACGACGAGATGCACCCTCTTGTTGTTGTGCAGCGGCCGATACTCGAATGTCTTGACGGCTCCCGTCCTCCTGTTTGCCGCTCGGCCACCGATAACGCTACCGGATGCCGCGGCACTGGATGTGATGATGGCAGCTCCGCCGACTCCTCCGAGGAATGTAGATGTACCCGTCACTCCAATGGTGGTGAAGCCAGCAGCCAAGCCGGCGCCAATGACGGGAGCGAGAAGGCCAGCCGAGAGGCCAATGACTAGACCACCACCCACGGTAGCCAACCCCATCATCATGTAGCGCTTCTTGAGAGCTTGTTTCCTCCGATGCTCCATATGCTCGTCCTCGTTCCAGTTTTCTTGCTCTGCGGCCTGTTGCATCTCCAACGCGTCCGTCACCTTCTTTTCAAACTTTCTGACATCCAACCAGTCGATTTGAAGACTCTTGCCAACCCGCTCTAAAAGAATTCTTGATCTGCAATCATACACCGAATCGGCAATCAAAAGAAGAAATAGGTCGCACAGCACCGTCCAACGCAGGTCAATGTCGATTTTGTCCGAGGTAACCATCTGGGCTGGGGTCTTCACAGGAGGTAGCTCCTCTCCTTCGTGCGCCTCGTACGGCGGTGGCGCTTCGGCCGCTTTCTCGGTCTGCGAGAGCGCGGGTGAAGGGGGGCCCATACTCCTCGGCGAGGTAACGGAAAGCGAGCTACGGGATTCCCTTGGCGATGTGACGGAGAGAGAGCTGCGCGACTCGTTTTCGTCCTCGGCCATGGGGTTCTTGACACGGGCGTTGGCCATCAAAATCGGAGTCAAGTCCGACGGCACCACGCCGTGGTCGCTGAGTTGTTCAACCATGATCTGCTCGGCGGAGCTGATGTCCATGTGTGTATAGAGACGGATCATCATCTTCTGACCCCACATCTTGGTCGCTTCGGCCGACATTGTGACATCCTTCTTTGCGCTCCTCGTGTGCTCGACGCTCTCGGCTTCCTTGACCATGTTATGAACCTCCAGTCTCGTCAGTCCCACGTAGGCGATTCTCTGCCCTTCCGTCAGCAGGTCCTTGGTTGCCTGCATCTGAGAGACAGCATCGCGGGCCTCGCTGTCGTCTTCGCCGATACTCGTGCCATTCACTTCCTTGAAGAGGTATTGGGTATTGTCGTCCATGCTGGTAGCTGATTCGGCATCGTCGTCCATAATTACTCGGGTATATCCCTTTCCAGCACCGCCAAGTCCGCCGTAGCCGTAAGTCTCGTCAACTTCGTCGGCCTTGAACTCCTTTGCGACAAGTCTATTGTCCTCGTCATAAATATCGTACGGGGCGAATGCGGGCATCGTTTGCCAGTCGCCATCATCGTTGTTATCGTCCTCCTTCTTGTCTGACGTCAGTTGCTGATGGGAGAATTCGGAGACGCCGACATTGCTGGTATTGCTCTGGTCTCTCTTGTGCTGCGTTTTAGGAGAAGGAGGCTCTGCCACCTTGGGCTCGGGCTCGTCTGCCTTGTCGACGAGCTTTGCAGGTGATCCTGGTTGCTGCGGCTCGAGATTGCTAGGCTTAGTCTCTGGTGCCGTCTTTTCCGACTCCTTTGATTCGACCCGGTCGGTTGCACCTTTTGTTGTGACACCCTCCTCCTTGCTCTCGCTCTTGGTTGTTGCTGAAGCTTCTGTTGTTGATGGCTTCTCGGTACTGCTCTTAGCAGCGACCACCTCTTTGGCTTCGACTTTGGCCTCTCCCTCGACTTCCTTGTTTGCTGGAACTTCCTGGCCTTTGACCTTTTCTCCATCCGTTTTGATTGTCACATTCTTGTCCTTGGCCTCGTCTTTGTCTAAACTTGAAGTTACAGGGGTAGATGGTGTATTCGAGGTCGCTCCGGAGGCAACGGCCGTGGCCGGCTGCTCGGATTGAGCGTCTTTGAACTCGTCATCGTCGCTTTCCGACTTGCCGTCTTTGCCGTTGACTTCCTTCCTCGCTAAAGCAGCCGTCTCATTGCTTGCGTCTGTTGCATGCTGCCCATCGTGGACCGGCTTCGGTTGGGACTCGTTCGGCTCGGATTGATCGTCGGTCGTCTGATCGGTCTCCTGAGGCGGCGGTGACACGTATCGTCTGATGGGTAGGCCGAAATCGTCCACCTCAGGCATGTCGCTCGTCATGGCCGCAGCGGGAGTCTGCTTTTGCGTAGATGCAGGTGCAGTTGCAGTCGCAGTTGTGGTTGCATCTGATGCACGAGTGCCATTCGGTAGCTGGTCAGCTGCCTCCGTATCGGCAGCGGGAGCGGCGGCGGCGGTGGCTGTCGTCGAGGAGGGGTTGTTGGTGTTGGTGTTGGTGGTGGCAGACTCGTCTGAGCCCGCCATGTTGAGATGTCGTGTATTGCCTCTTAGACAAACATGCGGGCTGTTTGTCTCAATGTGCCAGAAAAAGATTCAGGTAAAGAGGCCAAGGCAAGGGTGGGCAGCCTCTTTTTCCCCTTTTGTTTCGGGTATTGGAAAACGAATGGGTCGCGGGCTTATGCCGGGTTGGAGTAAGGTCGGTATCCGTAGGGGACGACGCGCAATACCTTGAGCAGTGGAACGAAAGCGAACTAAAGACTCCGTAAAGTGGCTGAGATTAGAATTACTGTGGGATGTGTTTTCCAGGCGTGCCGAACGCGCAGTTTCCGTGAGGTAAGGTACTCAGACGTGCTAACTTTTGAGAGGATTCGAGCCACGGGAACCTCCAACTGGAAGTCAAATTGGATGGGCTAGGGGGGAGCAACGACTTGAAGGGTACGTCCACGTGTTTTTTTCTGAGCCTGAGTCTGACAGGGTGCTTCTTTTCACGAAGGGGGGCCCGCGGGTTCGAAAGGGATGATGAAGAAAGTCCTGTTGTCGGTTGTTGGCGAATTTGATGGTTGATTTGGTTAATCCATCAGGGGAACAGTAAGCCAAACATCAAATCCCCCCAATTGCGCCCCTCAGCCCCCCCCCAATGACGATCCGCTAGAGTGCCGCGACTGCCATTTCCTGTGGGGACCGAACAGGCCATGCGAATTGGAGAATGTCAGTGCCCATGAGGTGGTCACTCAAGGACTGTGCTCACCTCGCGCAGTGTTAGTGCTCACTGAGGTGGCTGTCAGCCAGATTGAGGCACATTGGCTCACCGCCCAACACACCACGACAGTGACCGTTTCAGCGGTCGAGAGCTCTGACCTCTGACCAGCCCTGCCGCCCCTCCCAAAGGCATCACACTGGACCTTCCAGTGCCTCCTATGGCAAACTGACGACATTGGGAGGCCTTTGAAGGATGGAGGGGTGCCCTGGCTTCGATATTATCGTCATTGGGCTTTCATACACGATATCTTGGTGGTTTTGGACGTGTTGTCGCATCGCCTCAGATAAGCCATCCTCCAGGAGGGAACATCACCGAGTTCCTGTCCTACCAACAGACACTAAGACCTTCAAGCGTGACCCCCCATTATCCCGTAGGTAGCAAATCAAGGGGTCACATTCGAGATGCCGGTAATTTCAAAGACCGCCAGTTCATGAGACGATTCAGAAACACATTCACTCGACGATCCTCCCGTACGGTGTACCTCGCTGTAGCAAGAATTCCCCATTAAATTGGTATCTCTGAGCTTTTGTTGTACCTTTTACATTCCAATCATTTTAATAAGCCCCCACCCGAAAACGCCCTTTTGGTATGCAATATCGAATCCCTACGAGCTTTCCGCCGCTTGCTCCGTCGACGCCTCGCCCTGGTTCGCGGCAGGCGTACTCGACGAGCCCGCCGCATCGCCAGCGGCCTGGCCCTTGTTCCGTCTTCTGCGCTTCTTCTTCGCCGGGCCTTCTCCCTCTCCCTCGCCTCCATCTGCGGCGGCCCGCGCTTCCTTTGCTTCCTTGTGCGCCGTGTCGCCGCCGCTCGTGGCCTTCTTCGCCTTCTTGACCGCCAAGGGGTTCGGTCCCTTGCGTCCCCTCTTCTTATCCTTCTTCTTCTGCTCTTGAGCAACTCCTCCTCCTCCTCCGGACTTGCCCTCCTTTTCGCTTTCATCGTCGTCGTCCTCATCATCCTCCTCGCGCTTCCTCTTCCTCTCGGGCCTGACGAGCCCGTCGCGGAACTTGCTCTTCTCCTCCTTGGTCCTGATCGCCACGCTCTCCGTCGCCATGGGCTCGAGGATCATGACCGATCGCTTAATGTAAATCTGCGGGACACCCGGGATCTCGCGAAGCATGCGGCGCACGTCGCCTGACTGGCTCGCGACGCAGTAGCGGTGCTTGTTGACGAGGTTGCTCTTGGGGTCGACGACGGCCTTCATGCATTCCATCGTGCTTAGGGGTTCCGGGTAGTCCTCGGGCAAGTGGCCGCAGCGTCTCCGCTCGAGCGTCTTTGCAAAGTCGATGATTTTGTTCATGTCGGGCTCGTTCTTGCGCAGGTACAGCTTGCGGATCTCGCATTGTGTGATCACTGTGTGCGTCAAATAGTCAGCCTTCGAAGCACTCATCCTCCTTCGTGATGTCTAATCGTCGGCGTGCTGTATACTCACTTGGCTTGACCTTGCCGTGCAGCGTGCGCTCCAGTCCGGCGAGCAGGTCGTATCTGAAGTTGTGGCAGTCGACCACCATTTCAGCGTCGACTAGACATTGGTACGGTTCGCGGAATCCCCATGTCAATTGGTACTGGTTCATCAGCTTGCGATACTGTTTGCTACGTTTTCCACGCATTGTGAAAGTATGGGTGGCGAGGGGAAAATGCCCTTGCCGTCGAACGGGAGGTGGTTTGATCTGATTAACGCAGCAAAGACGGTGGTGGAGGCAGATGTTTGCGTTGAAGTCGCGAAATTTCTTGCTGGAAAAATTGCGATAAGATAAGAGGTCTGGCCCATGAAGGCCGATCTAACCCCACCATGGTCCGGCCACGACCGTGTGCAACGTCACTTGAGGAAAGGTATCATGGATTTTCTTTTACAGAAACGAGCATCGCAAACGCTTCCATCCGAGAAATCGCCAGATATTGGTGATATGTGTTCAATTAGCGGCAAACTTTGCACTATCCATGGATTCCTGTGAATATCAAAAGCCAATCAAACGCCGAGTACCTCCCAAAAGATGGCCACTGTCATCCCGACTCGGGTAAGGCGTATGCCATAATGATTGCAGCCTGCCCCTGCGGGACCTTTTCCGTAAATTCTATTTCCCATGATTGCCCTATTTCGTGATATCGCCCTCCTCATCATCATGCATCCTGTTTCCTCACGAGCGCAGCTACGACGCTGATGTCATCGAGTTTGCCTGTTTCCTTTGTTAGCCTCAGTGAAATATCACGGCCTCGCGGAGCCGATAACTTACCTCCAACGCTTGGTAGCCCTTCCTCAATGGCATGCTCCATGAACGGGCTTTCCGCGAATGGATCCGTCGCAATCTTCTTCGCGGCCGCGACCAACTCCTCGGCAGCGAGCTTCATGCCCCCGTTTGCGCCCCCCGTCCGGTCGCCCTCGACTCTGTCGCCCCCGCACTCCCCATTCTCCCAGCGTTCTATGCTCTTCTGAATGCTGTCGACAATTTCGTGCTCCCACAGGTTGTCGATGACGCCGTCCGACATGGCGAGGACCACGTCCCCGACCTGTATCTCCACAATGTCCAATACGGCTTCCGTGTTGGGGGTGTCGGGGCTGTTGGTGCCCAGCTGGCGGGGGCAGTCGAACCAGTGCCACTGTTCCTTGGTTTTGTAGATGACCTTCTCGTGCCTGGGTCGGAGGATCATGACTTGGCAGTCGCCGAGATTGGTGACGTAGACCTGGGGCACCTTCTCGCTGCCTCCTTGCAGGGTCTTGTAGTGCAGCAGCGCTCCGCTCGCCGTCGTGGTGCCTTGCCAGTCGTTCGGGTCCGAAGTCGCTTTCAGGGTCTGCTCATACGCCGTCTGGAGATAGGCTACCGGGTCGGGCTTGTAGACGTCGCCCGCGGCGCGAGGGTTGGTGGACTCTTGCTGAATAGCTGTCGCCCAGTAATGTAGAATCAAGCGAGACCAGAGGCTATTACTCCGACATCAATATTGGGACGTCCGATCAACGGAAAGGGGGAGGGGGAATATAGAGCACCCACCCAGCATGGCCCCTCGGGCGTGTTGACCAAGCACCGACACCATCGTTCGCACAAATGAAGTTGTCGCTGGCAAACACCGCATCGTCTCCGTTTGTCTGTCCGAGGATGATCTGCCCGTCTACTCTCGCGCGCCGATCGCGGCTTCGGTGATGGGTACTGAGCGGATCGGAAAACGAGCCCGACGGAGGGGAGAGGAAGGGCGGCGGGAACGGTCGCGGCGCTCGCTTGGCGAAGAGGGAGACGCCGGTCTCGAAGCGGAACGGTTGTTGCGTCTGTGGTGGTGATTTCTGCTCGGAAGAATCTGCTTGCGACGGCGGCGGCGTTGTTGTTGATGTTGTCGTCGTCGCCGTCGACAGGCAAGCCGCCCTGCTAGGTCGGTATCGCTGCGGCCATGATGCTGGAGATGCGCCCTGAGGCACTCTCGGCGGCCGCGCTTTGAAGGGGGGAATCGCCAACAAGGGCCCAGGTAACCTCCTCATTCCCACGTGTGAGGCAGACAAGGCGCCTTTTGCGATGTTGGATCGCAACGAGACGAAATCGCTGGGCCTGTTGCCGTTATCTTTTGGCGCTGGAAGGGTGCCGCAGGAGTGCTGGGCATGGCCGGGGGGGTGGGCTTCGATGTGTTGGTTGGGGGCTCTCCGAACCGGGGGTTAAATTGGGGCGCTACACGTGCAGGCGCGTTTTGGTCCCAGGCCGGTGCATTGGGCACTGGGCTGCAGAGTCGTAGCTGGGAATTAGGAGCTCTAGGCGGCCGTAGAGGGCTGGCACGGCTGGGTAGGTAGGTGCAAAAACTCTGAACTTAGGTAAGCACAGTCAAAACACCCCCCCACCTCTCCTTTTTGTCACCAAGAAGCCCAACATTTAGGTCAACACTCTGTAAGTAGGAGCATTGGTTGAGCCACAACATGCTGTTTCTGTAAATGAAGTTCTCACAACTAGGAGCTCCCCTGTCCCACATTGACCGCATTTTGAATAGAAAATTCCTTCACTAGCATCACCCTTCACAACACCAGGAAAGCAAGCAGCACACAAACAAACTACAAACAGAACTGAAAATTTTCTGACAGAAAACTCTTAAAGGGAGTGTAGCGTGGCGGGCTCCTGATGGGGCTGATAAGTGGCAATCGATGCAACTGCAGAAATTGTTCTATGTAAAAGCCGAGCACGCCGGCATTGGCATGTCGTAAGAAAATCTTAGCCGTTCCGTAGCTTGATCATTAACAGGATACGGAGTAATAAACCCCTTCCCTATAACCTCATATCGCTCTCACTCGTCTCCG